GGGCCTTAGTACCTTTTTGTTGCCTGAGAATACATACAAACTCCTAGGATAGATTCGTGGAAATGGCAGTTGTTGTTGATGATGATGCTGTTGATGATGACGATGGTGGTGGTAATATTGTTACGATTATGTTGGGGGTTTTGGATTTTTTAAATATATATTACTTCTTTCCTGTAGAAGATTCTGTGTGTCTTACAGATAAATTATACGCAACCATACGCAAAGTAGCACCTTTCTCCTTCCCTAGAACAAATGATAGGGATGATAGTTAGACCAGTGACGGCGAACCTTTTTGGGCCTGAGTGAGTTAGATCAGTGACGGCGAACCTTTTGGGGCCCGAGTGCCCAAACCTGGGGGGGGGAAAACAGTGGGTGATGGGCTGCAGTGGCGGAACTGGAAGTGGCGGAGGAAGGGGGAATCCCAGGCACGGAGGTATGGGCCGCAGTGGCAGAACTGGAAGTGGTGGAGGAAGGGGGAATCCCAGGCACGGAGGTGCCTTGAGACCCCACTCCGGATCTGCCGCCATCGCCAGCTGCTCTGGATCCTGGCCCACCGCCTGTTGAAGTGCCAGCACTGCGGCTGCAGGCGCCTGCTCAGGTTTGGCCATAGGGTCGCCATTGCTGGGTTAGACGAATGCCTCGGAGTGGAGATGGGTCTTCAGGGCATTTACCCACCTCTGAGCATCCTCTCCCTGAGGAGCCCCCGGCAGCTTCTGAAGATCTGCCACATTCCTCACCTCCTAGCTTGGCAACTGTGGCTTTCTGATATATATTGATCTCTGTGAATTCTTTTACAGAGCAATCAGAAAACCTTTCCCTCCATAACCTAATGGGTTTAAACCTGCCCGTGCACACTGGATATCACTCCCTGTGGAGGTGTGGCAGGCAGAAGGGGCTGAAGGCCAAAGACTAATTACCTGAAAGAGTTTCAGCCAGTGGTGGGCCTCCTGTTGCACACCTGCTGTTAAAAAGTATGGCTCTGTGTTACAAAGACTGTCAGCATCTTTACCGATCTTTTCGGTCCTCCCTTTTTTTCTGATAGTTACATTCCTTTGCCCCTCATACCTGTGCAACTATCGCATTTGAATCGTGCAGCCATAATTCATCATCTAGTTTTCTCAGCATCTGACTGCTGTTTTCCAGTGGAACAAGCAGACGGCTGCCCTCTCTTTAGGAATCAAGCAGCTCCTCTCTGTGTGTGGCTCATACTTTTGCGCTGCAGGCCAACTGCAACTTGCTCCTGTGGGGAATAAGCAAAGGCACATCACTTTCCAAGATGAGCCATCTATGGATAGCTCTAAAGAGTGTGGTATTTAAAGAGAACATTGAAACATGTGGTCCTATTTCAAAACATGGTGGGTGGGTGTGCTTAAAGGACAGACCTCTATTTGAAGGTGGAACAGAGGATATTCTCCTATTTGAAGACCTCCTTCTCACGTTGAAAAACTATCTAGTCCAAATATAACACCAATGAACCATAATTTTTACAGCAAAAGTTGCCCACCAGTATTGCGCAGGCACCTCAGCTGCTTGGTTACAGCGTGTCCCATAGAGATTATATAGTTCCATTTCAACTACCAGCCAATATTTGTAAATCTTCATGTTTTATGCAAATCTTTCACCCCTTTTGTCTTTTTTGTGTGTGGATGATGTGTAAGTGGTGATACTAAGTAGGCATTACTGAAAGGAGCCTTTCGTTGACTTAAGGATGTCCTAGAATATCAATGACATGAGAGATGGGGGGAAACCATGCCTCTAGTGGGTTGATTTCTGTTGTAACAGTTGTAGTACATGTCCCATTAGTAGGCAGCGGATGAAGGGACAAAGGGATGTACAAGACAAAGGTGGTTCATTTTCTGTTTGTTTAATAACCTGACTTTGTGGTGGCCTCGTCTAGACTGTTAACATTACTTGCTCACATGCTAGCTGTTCCAGTGTGTTCTAACACAGGGGTCCCCAACCCCCGCCCTGACAAGCATGCCCCCTGCGCATGTGAGTGAGTGCATCCCCGCCTCCTTGAGTGAACACCCCCCCACCAGTCTGCGGTTGGGAAAAGCTTGGGGGCCACTATTCTAACACATCATGGAGGTGGGCTGATGCATGTTGAAGGTGCGCCATAAGAGACAACCTGTGATAATCTGACCAGTGAAAACATAGGTCTTTCTTCCCAGGGCAAGTGTCTTCTAGATCAGTGGTTCTTAACGTGGGCGATAATGCCCCCCAGGGGGCGATTTCATTTTTCAGGGGGGCGGTAGAACGAAAAGGGGCAGCGTGGGGGCGCTGGAGCAGAAGGGGGCGGTAGGGGGGCGCTGGAGCAAGCCAAACCTGTTAAGATGTCTGCAGCCTTTTTACAATGTGCATGAATATATATTTTCCTCCAATCTTAATTTAGTTTCAGCGTTTTCGTCTTGAAATGTTTAGTTTCTGCATTGCGGTTTGTTTTTATGCCCTTTTTATATTTCTTTTTGGGTCTTAAAATTCGCTTGCAACTAAATCATTAAATGTTACTTTTTTGGGGCATTTCATTTTCTTGGAATTGAATTTTGTTTTCAGGGGTCATTGGATTTAAGTGTCTTAAATAAGTAAACAAACAAACAAATAAATAAGTAAATAAATAAATAAATAAGATATCACTGCGGGGAGGGGGGCGATGATAACTTCCTCAATGGCTCAAGGGGGCGTTTCTTTCAAAAAGGTTAAGAACCACTGTTCTAGATAAGCAGTTAAGCTTATTTTACTCGTTTCCCCTTGCTTTTTATGTTTGTTTGGAACTGTGTTGCGTGAACAATTTTTCCATCCCTCTAGAACATTGGCGTGTGTGTATCTTGAGAACATAGACCAAGAGGTCTACAGTGAGGCTTGGTATGAAAGAGGACGCTTTTGCTTCTTCCTTCCTATTGGTTTGCACTGCCACTAAACTGATCCTTTTACTTTTTTTAAAGGATCTGTAATGGTTCTAATGCTAGATCAGTGGGCAGTCATATATTCACTAAAGGTGTTTGTGTTCTACTGATATGAAATGACTTATGAATATATTTCAGCAATATAACGGCTATTTAAGTTTTGAGGAGGCAGGGGTAGGATTTTGAATCAACAGTGGAAGCAAAAAATACATGTACAGTAACAACTAGGGGAAAGCCACATATCTGAAAACTATATTTTAAGCATAATAATGGCTTTGATGGGGATTAAGGTGGTTCCCTATGCTGACATAAGCTGAACCGTTTCAAGCCTACATGTTTGTTGAAAAGGAGGTTGACTCAAGAGCTCTGTGCAGTGATAGCCTGAAATAGATATAGAACAATTTTGGGGTGTATGTGTGTGAACCTGTGCCTCCAAAAATCGTTACTTTCAGTGAGGTGTAATGTAATGATAACAGGTTTTGCGCTATATTGATATACTGATATACTGCTAAACCATTTCGAGCCACTATGCTAGTGGAGGAGGGACAGTGGTAGCCAGAGGAGACCGTGCAGTCACACAAATGGCTGTGGCAGCAGCGACATGGGAGTCACACGAGTGAGGTTGCATCCTATTGGTGGCAGCTGTCCAAGTGGTAGTCCTGGGACCAGGGGGCTCTAAATGTAGGAACAGTGCAATTTGTTGCCCCAAGCATACTGTTTTCGGAGGTGGTCACTTTGCCTAAGAGTGGGACTGGCCCTGAATTGGCCTTATTCTAGGTAATTAATCCAGAGTCGTTCAGGAGCAAACCCTGTGGTTCTTGCATTCAGTACCATGATATGGCTTTGGGATGTTGGCTGATCAGCACTTACATTCTAACATGGATATTGCTGGCTCCTAAGTTACCCCCCAAATTGCACCTCCTGGTTTTATAGACCTTTACCCAATTCTCAGGTGCGTAAAGAAAGATCCTGTTTCTCCTAATGGTGCAAAGAAAGGCACGGTGGTCCGGTTTAGATATGTCTCCTCACCCCCATCCCTGTCGCTTTCTTTGCTGCTGCTATATTTTGATGCTTAAATTAATCCCTAGGGCTGATTCCATATGATTGGTTCTGTCTCCTCCATCTGCATATCAGAAACAACATCATTTGTGACCTCTGTCAGTATGTGATTTAGTGGTCAAGCCTGCTTGTTATGTTCTTATCTGATGAGGGGATAATCAATAGGATATCTGACGTGATGTAATGGCAGCAAGCGTTTCTTTGTGGTTCGTTTTGTCAAACGTATGTATGTGTAAATGAGCTTGGTCTGTGTATAACCCTAAAACCCAGCAATTTATCTTTTGATTACAGTGAATTCAAGTGAAGCAGCCAACAAAGGTCAAACTCTGTATTAAGTGCTCTCCTATCTGCACATTTCCCTGCAAACATGGTATTACATGAAGGCAATTTACAAATGAATGGTTATTCAAGGGAATATATGTAATGATGGTGGATGTGTGACCGAGCTTTTTGCTAACCATGTATTCTCGAAGGGTTGTTGTGGGTTTTCCAGGCTGTTTGGCCATGCTCTGGAGGTTTTTCTTCCTAATGTTTCGCCAGTCTCTGTGCCTGGCATCTTCAGAGGGCAGGAGCTAGAACTTTGTCTGTCCTCTGAAGATGCCAACCACAGAGATTGGTGAAATGTTAGGAAGAAAAACCTCCAGAACACAGCTAAACAGCCCAGAAAACCTACAACAATTTTTTTGCTAACTCTTCGGACCAGCCTAAAAGGCAACATAGATTTTGTTCCCACTTAAGAATATGTGATGTTTTTAGTTATTTTTACATGCATTCACTCAGTCCCTTTGTTTTCTTTTTAGAGTTTTCAGTACTGTACCTGATTTTTTGGTGTTTTTTAAAAAAAAAACGACATTGGTTTAAACAGCTGCTTGTTGTTCCTTCCTACCCACCCCCATTGATCCATTCCTACCGCCACCACCCCATTTCCTGTGCAGAAGAGCCTTAAAGCAAGCTAGCCTAGAGGACAGATTGTGGTCTAAGAATCTGTGAAATGAGGAGAATAGCTTTGCTGATGTGTATCCCTTGCTTTTCTTCTAGCATCCTCGATTCTGAAACAAGAGAAGCGGAAGAGGACAAAAAATGTCCATTTCAACTGTGTCACTGTGTACTACTTTACAAGACGGCAAGGGTTCACGAGTGTCCCCAGCCAAGGAGGGAGCACCCTTGGCATGTCCACTCGCCACAACAGCGTCCGACAATACACCCTTGGGGAGTTTGCGATGGAACAGGAAAGGCTTCACCAAGAGATGTTACGAGAGCATCTCAGGGAAGAGAAGTTGAACTCTTTAAAACTCAAGGTAAAAATGAAACAATGGGTCCCCTGTCATTCCCACTGCAGGATCAGAAGGCACAAACAGTGGAATTGGTACTTTATGTCCTTGGCAAGGATCTGTCTCTGCTTCTGATATGGCTGCCGCTGAGTTTCCTCAAACAAGCTGGCATCTTCCCGTCTTCTCACATTAACACATCCAATTTTTTAAATAGGGTTTCACCTGAGCTCTTTAAGGGGACAGCTTCCTTCCTGCTAGGCAGACATGATGGGAATTTGTTCCAGTCCATTGAAGCCCCCAGTTTGATCAGAATATAAATAGGACCGAACAAGTGGGCTAGGCATCAAATGTTCTCAGATAGTGATTTTGACCTCTCTTTTTCTTTAAGGAAGCAGGCTCTCTCTCTCTGAAACAGGGTAATATGGAGTAACATCTACAGAGGCATGCTGGGTTGAAGAAAAAGTAGTAGTATTAGTGGTGGTGGTGGTGGTGGTGGTTGAAGAAAAAGTAGTAGTACTGGTGGTGGTGGTGGTGGTAAAAGAAACGCTAATTTTGGAAATGCTTTTCAAATGGAATATGATCAGAAATGATTCCAAGTTTGTCCCTGGACTTATTTTGGAGAAGTTATTGGTGGGAGGGCTGAATCCAGTTGGTAGTGCCAACTAGAGTAGGCCCATTCATCAGTGGGATTTACATAAATGTTGGCTCACCTTTTTGGCAAGTGAATTTATGGGTCCTCCATGGCTTTAGGCCTTGGGCTACACCATCCACCAGCTGGTATGGCCAGTCAGGAATTGGAAAGCTGTATTACAGACAGACAAACAAACAAACAAACACTGTATCCCATTCTAGAAGAAGCAGTGCTGTCACAGTGAACAGCAGAGTGGGCTGTATATATCCCTTGGAGCCACCCACTTGGTAATGCTAGAAGCAAAGTTGTTATGTTCCAAGTTAGTCGTTTTATAATCCCTCCCTTACCATGGATGATTTGGGAACTCCCCTACTGAGTGCATAATGTGTGGCATGTGGGAAAAAACACCTTGCTGGATCATCCGTGAAGCTAAAACAGACATTATAAATAACTCATAATTAGAAGGAGAAGATCCTTAATTAATAAAAGGATTAATCTGAATGCCAAATTAGGAGCCTCTCTCACCTCCAGGAATATGCTGATTAGCTTGCTTTGGTGAGTGATTGGTCTTCAGGAATTAAGCGTAGGATTCCTTCTGAAGCTTAATTTTACAAACCTGAATGACAGCCTCAGTCACCTCTCTCTAACATGAACTTCAGTCTGTTTCTGGCTTGAACTGAAAGTATTTTATGTTGGTCTTCATAAGCGTAGGATTCCTTCTGAAGCTTAATTTTACAAACCTGAATGACAGCCTCAGTCACCTCTCTCTAACATGAACTTCAGTCTGTTTCTGGCTTGAACTGAAAGTATTTTATGTATGTTTTGATGGCAATACAAGGGTAGTACTGAAGATGTTTAGTCATGGAAAGAGTTTCTGACTCTTGAAAAATCAAAGAAGAAACATGTCTGGCATAGTCTAGTTATCCCAGTGCTGCAGTCTAATGTGCTTTTTGTGCAGGATACTCTTATTACACATACATACACAGAGAGAGAGAGAGAGGTGCAGGATACTCTATTACACATACATACACACACACAGAGAGAGAGAGAGAGAGCCTGTCAGCATTCTCTGCACATACTCATTGAGTTGTGTGAGGGGTTCTGTCACCTTAATCCCATGTTAGAAAGATCTTTTAGGGTTCTCTGAGACTGCTGTTACGTTGTTCCTATGTTTTTACTTTATAAGGACTGACATTTGAGAGGACTGAGTTTAATATGCAAGCTTTTCATTACTTTCACCAAATCCAACTATATTTTATTTGTGTTTGCCAGTGGAAAACCTGTGGACTTTCTGTGGCTGCCCTTGAGAGATCCCCAGCATAACTGTCAAATAAACTTATCTGGCTCCAGAATGGAAAACAATTGCAGACTACAAAAAGTGCAGTAGTTTCTGTGACCCTTCCAATGGAATGTCTGTGTATACATATACAACTGACAGAACTATCTCTGAGTCAACATACCATGGACTATATAAATTGGGGGGGGGGGCTCTCCATTGGCTCTCCATGGTTGAAGAGTGTATGTGTTTATGAAATTATGAAGCCCATGTGTGACACGTTCATACAATCTTCGCTGAAGAACCAGGTTCAAAGGGTTGTTCAGAAGCAGAGCTTCAACACAATGCCAGGATGCCAAAGAATCTTTTCCCCACACGAAACTCCTGCTGCCTCACCATAACCGCCAGGGAAGGCCCTGCTTTCAATACTATAATTTTATGGATGTCTGCTGGACCGTGGCAGAGAGATAGGTTTCTCCCATGGTGGTCCTCACACAATGGAATGATCTCCCCCAGTTGTAGGCCAGACCCCAGCCTAGTGCATGAGATGCACTTATGGAAGAGGTTTTGCTCTGACAATCCCCAGCCTAATGGGATTTATTGGCTTGTATATATTGTGGTGGCACTGCGGGTTAACCTGCAGAAGCCACTGTGTTGCAAGGTCAGAAGACCTGCAGTCGTAAGATCAAATCCACGCGACGGAGTGAGCTCCCGTCACTTGTCCCAGCTCCCGCCAACCTAGCGGTTCAAAAGCATGCGAAATGCAAGTAGATAAATAGGCACCATCATGGTGGGAAGGTAAACGGCGTTCCATGTCTAGTCACGCTGGACCACGGAAGATTGCCTTCGGACAAATGCTAGCTCTATGGGCTGGAAACAGATGAGCACCGCCCCCTAGAGTCGGACACAACTGGACAAATTGTGAAGGGGAACCTTAATCTTTACCTATATATTGTGTCTGTAAACCTATTTGGGATCCATTTAAATAAGAAACACTATACATGCATGGTGGAGTGCAGTGGTTAAACTGCAGTACTGCAGCCAAAACTCTGCTCACAACCCAGATTCAATCTCAGGTAGCTGGCTCGAGGTTGACTCAGTTTTCCATCCTTCTGATGTCAGGAAATTGAGTACCCAGCTTGTGGGGTGGTGGTGCAATGTGTAGACTGTATAGTTAACTTGTACAACCGCTCAGAAAGTGCTTTAAGTGCTATGGGCCTTATATAAGCAACAGGCCTTTTGCTGCTGCTTTTTTTTCCCAACTCCAAGTAGGCGGCTTTGTTTCCTTCAGAGATTTTTTAAAGCCAAGAATGCCTGTACTTCTCCATGTAGCTCTGACACTTCTTTGCTGTCTTGTCTATTACAGATGACTAAAAATGGCACCGTGGAATCTGAGGAAGCAAACACTTTGACATTGGATGACATTTCTGATGACGATATAGATCTCGACAACACAGAGGTGGACGAGTACTTCTTTCTGCAACCTCTGCCAACAAAAAAGCGAAGGGCCCTCTTAAGAGCCTCTGGAGTCAAGAAGATTGACGTGGAAGAAAAACACGAGCTGCGAGCCATCCGCCTTTCGAGGGAGGACTGTGGATGTGACTGTCGAGTCTTCTGTGACCCGGAAACCTGTACTTGTAGCCTTGCAGGCATAAAATGCCAGGTGAGAGCTTAGCGACATAGATGAGTAGACAGGTAGACAGACAAGTAGGAGGGTAGCTTCCCAGTCCCAGCAACATCCTCAGCCTGCACTCATCTGAATATTAAGCTCACCTTAAAATATAGCAGTTAGTCTTTAAAGTGCCACAATTTTCTTGCCTTCTTTATATATATGTGTGTGTGTGTGTGTGTGTATATGTACTCTGTGTGTGTGTACACACACACGCACACACACGCACACGCACACACCCTAAACAAAAATAAATATTTATTTGGTTTATAGACAGGTAGACAGACAAGTAGGAGGGTAGCTTCCCAGTCCCAGCAACATCCTCAGCCTGCACTCATCTGAATATTAAGCTCACCTTAAAATATAGCAGTTAGTCTTTAAAGTGCCACAATTTTCTTGCCTTCTTTATATATATGTGTGTGTGTGTGTGTGTGTATATGTACTCTGTGTGTGTGTACACACACACGCACACACACGCACACGCACACACCCTAAACCAAAATAAATATTTATTTGGTTTAGGACATAGATGCCAGCGTTACTGGGCTATTTCAATTCAGCAGCCTGTTGTCATTATGAATGCTTCTCCCCATTGAAAATGACTGAGTTGGGGGGTAGAGAAGGATTAGCCGTGCCACTTGTGGTTGAGGATTTTGAAGCAGAAGCCTCTTGGGGGTTAAAAACAAGGAGCTTTGGATCCCTTGGGCCCCCATCTTTCTCCCGTATGTGGAATTCTTCTGTAGAATTTTCTGTGGATGCCCCTAATGGTAAAGCTGCTCTGCAACTGTGTCCCAGTCCTAAACCCCTCCAGCCAACAATTCTGATGGTTAGGAATTGCTCCTCCTTTGGGTTAGGTTAACAACAATAGGTCAACAGCAGTGTGTTTAAGAATACTGTATAGTGCTTAGATCACAGAACTGCACTTAGACCCAATAGGGCAAGGAATGGGAATTCATGTTTCAAAAAAGAGTGTACTCATTATTTGTTAAAGATAAGCAGTTGGCTGTCCTATGTCTGTAATCCTTTCAGTGTCTTTGGACCAAACTGTATGAGATAACAATTTCACAATTAGAAGGAGAACTTCCCTAAGAAGGAAAGGGCATTGCTTTTTCTAGCAGGAGGTTTCCATGAGTTCAGAAGTTGCAAATTAGCTTTATTTGGTGGTTGGTCACTGGGAAGTAAACAGTTGGGTTCTTCTGCAGGTTGGCTGTGCTCACCCACCTACATGGCAGGAATGCTTCTTTGAAGACGGTAACATTTTATCACCTTCCAGTTGCTAAGATGATGACTGGTATGATTTGGCCCTTTAACAGAGCTTTTAATTTTAAAAGCCATTCTTTCCAATGACCTCTCTGCTCTGGATTTATTTCAGGCAGATAAATGTTTGGTGTTGACCAGTGATCATTTATATGAATGCATGAATGAGAGCACCCGCCAGTCAGATTTCCAAGACCCTGTTCCTAGATAAACATCTTTGTTTTATTGTCCATTTTGCATCTTGCTAACATTCTTCTGACCCCACAAGTTAATCCATGGTCTCTTTTCTAAAGGTGGATCGTATGTCTTTCCCATGCGGTTGCACTAAAGAGGGATGTAGCAATACAGCAGGTAGAATTGAATTTAACCCCATTCGTGTTCGGACTCACTTTTTGCACACCATAATGAAGCTTGAGTTGGAGAAAAGCAGAGAGCAGCAAGTTTCTGCGCTAAATGGTTGCCACAGCGAGTTGAGTGCTCACAGCAGTGCAATGGGCCCCACCACCCACCCGCTTGAATATGCTGTTCCAGACGGCTTTGAAATGGAAGCAGAACCTCGGGGTCCTGTGATGCACTTGCCATCTGCTGACGATTTGGGCTGTCCGGGGGAGGAGGAAGAGGAAGAGGAAGATGCGAGTAGCTTTTGTAGTGGAGTTACGGATTCTAGCACCCAGAGTTTGGCACCCAGTGAAACAGATGAAGATGAAGAGGAGGAAGAGGAGGAGGAAGAAGAAGAGGAGGAGGAGGAAGATGATGAGGATGAGGATGAAGAAGAAAAAGTGGATGAATTTGTGGAAGGATTGGGTACTCATGCCGACATAGTCCAAGCTCTTCCTTCTGTCCTTTGCTATTCTGATAGCGCCACCATGCATGAAAGCCATGCAAAGGCATCCCCTTACTACACCAATACATCGTCACTTTATTACCAAATAGACAACCACAGCCCGGGCACTCCTAATCAGCTTCGTGAGACTTACTCCGAAAGGGATACTGTTAAGAATGGTAATCTTGCTCTGGTGCCTTACAGTGCAGCTTCGGAACAGTTTGTTGACTATACGCGGCAATCAGAGGAAAGCTACAGCAGCCCCCTTTATCCTTCTTCAAACCCATCTGTCATCGTCTGCTGCTCATCTTCAGAAAGCGAGAACGCTGTTCCATGTCATAGTTTATACTCTGAGCATAGGCCAAGACATTCCCAAGTGGACCTTCCCTCCTACTTGAAAAGTCCTTCTCCAGATGGATTTGTTTCTGCTTTGAACGGGGGCAGTCACCTCCCAGAGCACCCCGTGGAGAACGCACTCAGCCTTTCAGAAAAGAGCAGACTGCATGAAGAGTGTATCAAATCGTCTGTCATGGAAACGGTACCTGTTTAAATTATTTTAGGGCTGAATCTCTTATTTAAATACACACTATTTTAACTGGATTCTCTGGAACCACTTTTTTTCCTTCTCCTCATTGGAGGTAAGGGGACAGACTGTTGTTAATGTTTTATTTCTTCTTTCGAGCTAAAGTGGCTGTGGCCATTGCACAAGAAAGTGTAAAAAGTAAAATTTAACAGAGGGGAAAAAAAATCAAATGGTCTTTTGATAGAAAATACTTAAAAAAAATAGCTGCCTACCTGTCAAACTGTGGGAAGCTGGGCTCTCCGATTCAGAGCTTCTCATTTTATTGTCGGGCTTGTGCAAGGTAATGAAATTTTTACTTTGGAATCTTCATGTTTAGACTACTACATTTTCTCACATATTTGAAAAAAGATGGTGAATTTTTAAATGTAGATGTGGTTACGAAAGAACCCTGAATTGTTCAGTAATGTATATTTTATTTATCGTAGCTTAGTACTCATGTCTTGACGAAAACGAACAGCATGCTCCTTGGAGCTGAACATTTGAGCAGAACAGCACAACAAGCATCAGATATTTTTTTAAGGCAAACTACGTGCATTTTTGTGGTGATGTCTAAAGCTGGAATTGAGCTACATTCTTTGGCTGCTCTAGGCTCTATTCACTTGTGTAACCTATGAATTTAGGGGACAATCTAGGAAGCACCACTGGGTGGGCGGCATGCGCCATGTGCTCCAGTGGCATTTGTGTGGAGCTCTGGTTAGAGCTCCAGCTGAATTGCTGTAGAAAGAAACGAAGGATGCCAACGAGCTCTCACTTTCTGACTTTATCCTGTAGGCATGCACATTTTCTAGAGGAGTGAAAATTTTCGACAATCCTCTGTGTTAAAAGTAAATATGACACTGACATAAACAAGGAAGCTGGGCACGGTCCAGCAAAAGTTAGCTGCGATGGCTTCAGTTTGCTTTGTTATTCCATGCATTTATCACTTCAGTTTCCATCCAGATGCTCTCAAGGGAATGCTCAGTCTTGAATAGCTAGCGCCTCTTCATAATTCTCCTCCAGCCTTCTCCCACTTTCTCCGTTCATGCGGGGGAGTTTTGTGCCATGAAGTTGTTTTCACAGTGGGAGCCCTGCCATCACTGGAGAGTTGTGCTTGTAGGACAGCTGTGCATATTGTTAACAGAAGGACTCAAGTGGGCCTTTGGAGTCATCTATGTTATTGTAGCAGTACAACTGTTGCTTTTCCGCAACATTTTCTAGATAGTTAAGAAACTATATATGGTGGAGAGAGTGTACAGGACCTCTGTTAACCCCTCTCCCCCTCTCCAGTTTTTTTTATAGCATTACATATCCCCTCATTCAAAGGTAGCTCAGGATTGACACTATAGATTCTATGCTCCCCATTGTATTATCCTTATAGCACCCAAACAAAATGGTTCAGACCTGAGTGGCCAAGGGCCACTTGGTGAACTTAGTGGCTGGCTGCAATTTCAGTCTAGCTCTCTCTAGCCCTAGGCCAACTGTGTAACTATTGTAACTCTCTGGCATACCTGCTTCTCTTTAGATTCTGCGCATTTCCCCCTTACAGAGAATACGAGAGCTGTATGAGAAGTAACCAGATGGAAATGGCCATCATAATGCTAAAGTAATGGAAACCCAGCCTATGAACCAGTGAAATTCGTTGGGTCCATTAGTTTTCATTAGTGGGATTTGGTTGCAACTACCATTTGATGGATTTATGTGTACCCTGTTGAGAGCAAAGGTGCAATTTTGGCATCTTTTTGTAGCTTGGCAAATATACAGCTACCTAATGCACTTTAAGGCCTCCTCTTGTTTGCGGAGGTTGTGGAGAATCTTGGAGACATGGCAGATTGTGGATGTTTTGTTTTTATTTTTTAAAGCATGCACCATATAGGCATTATACAAAAATGGCCAGAAAGAAATGGTGCAGATTTTCCGTAGCTAAGACTTGAAAACTCAAATAAGTTATTATTAAAAGGAGAAAATAGTTCTGTTTCTTGAGAAAGCGATAGGTTATGAGCACTTACAAACTGCAAGACCAACAGAGTTCTATGGGCATTTAGAGGTTCCACTCATTGTAAGTCAAGAGCTCACCCACAATCATTACAGATACTGAACTCAACAGGAGTTTATCTGCAACTGCTGCTTTTAGTTATGGACTTGAGACATAATAAAACCGGTACTACTTGTTATTGACTGATCAAAACTCTGCTCCAGGACCTCTGACCACCCGGACCTTCTTGCACACATGGAGCTTCCTCCATTTATTTCAGCAGAGAGGATGGATCTGTGTATGGCAGCAATTGTAGGCCAGAACTGTTTCTTGCATTGGAGTGAAGCTTGCTGGGTTGGAGTGGGAAATGTCCCTGCAGGCAGAGGTGAGCTCTGTGTATTTCAGAGTTTAGTCATTTGTAAGATCAATATAGAAAACATTCATGTATGATTTCTTGTTAGATCGCAAGAACGATGCCCATGTGTGTAATATGGATAACCAAAAACTGACTTCTCACTCTCCCACTTAACAGCTGGGTCAGAGTCACCTCTTTCAGGTAGCATAATCCATAATATATGTGTGTATTGTTGAACTACGAATTGGCATAATATATTGAAATGGTAGTTTAAAGCACAGTATTCGCTTGTTATTTGAATAATCCCATCCTTTTAAATTGAACAAAGTGCACCCTTTCCCAAATTTGATTCTGTGCCCCCTGGTCTCACCTGACCTTCTTTTTTGTTGGGGGGGAAGGGAGGGGCAGTGAATTTCGGTTTCCAGAAGCTTTCAGGAATACCAACTTGCCTTTTAAACAAGACACAGGACCTCACTACATCATTTAACATTTTTCTCAGAACTGAAAGTAGACTTCTAGGCACTTCCAAGTTAATTTTTTCCTCTTGGTTAGGCTGCGCACTCCTGGAGATTCCTGGGGAGGGAAAATTGGCTGCCAGATACACCAAAGCTGGCCACCCTGTTTTAAATAAAGAGTTCCTGTACAGGTTGATTTTGAGTAAAATAACCTTGTACTAATGAAACAGCTGTGCTGCGTACAGAGGCCTTTATTGAAGGGTGCCATAACAACAGTGCATGAAAACTGTCTTTTAATTGTAATTAATAGATTACAGCCCACTCAAAAGTCATGACTATGCGTCTCATACAGAATTACATTTTTTTGGCTCACAACTGTAGACTTAAGGGTACCAATTCAAATCAAGCTTTTCCCTTTGTTTCAGCAGCCATATGTATGCCTTTGTCTCTTTCTGGGAAGGGTGAAATTGTCCTTTTGCCCAATAGCTTCATGTTCCAAGGAGGCATGTTAATTGTGCAAAGCCTTGAGCTTTCTTGATCATTCTAGTCATGATTTTAACCACCACACATAGTCTACCAGCTTTGGTCAATGTCTGCCTTGCAGCAAAGCTCAGAGTCACTTGGATGTAAGAAGGGAGGCGACCTTGCTTCCTATTTATGGATTTCTTTCAATTTTCCTGGCTTCCTTTGGTCAGATATTGCACAATAAATGGGAGAGGATGGTGAAAATAAACTCCTGTGGCTCAGCTAATCAAGTGCCGTATTTCCTGCATTGTTAAGCCTTGGTTTTATATCTGTGAACCTTACCTCTACGTGCCAAAAGGCTTGTTGTGACTAAATGGCAAATAACAGTAAATGTGCTTTGTTCACATTTTTGCACATTATCTTTAAATGAAGATGATCCTGCTGAATTTATAACAGATTTGATGCCCATTAGTTTTGGATGCTTGTCAGCATGTTAGAACATAGCATTGGCATTGTCAACAAGGTCTTCTTTGCAGCCACTCAGTGCCCCTTCTAATAACAAATCACTTCTAAAACATCAAAGTTTAGCAGACCAGAAAAAAAATAACCAAGCCCACTCTTTTGACCAATTAAGTCTTTGCAGCATGTAGTTACTGACGATTAGAAATGGACAGAGCCATTTAGTTCTGCCAGTAAGGAGAAGATACACCAGCAATTTCTGTAGATGGCTTTTCCCCTTGAAGAAGGTCTTACAACATTGTTGGATTAGAATGCATCGGGTTTTTGAACAAATGCACACTCACTTGCAGTGTCTTGAGACATGTCGCTTCCATATGTAGCTTTTTTTGACATCAACCATGGAGAACATGGGTAAGCCAGATAGGTGTTCTTGGACTGCAACTCTCAGAAACCCCAGCCAGCACAGCTGGTAGCAAAGACTTCTGGGAATTGCAGTCCAAGAACATCCAGGTTACCCAAGGCTGGGAACAACTGATATCAAGCAATGGGTGTGGGGAATATCCCAAGGACACAGTCATGTTGGTATGGCAGGTTGCTCAGAGAGTTAAAGACTGTATTACTAGAACAGAATTATGGTCTGTGCTATAGCATATCAAGAGTTGTTTTCTCTCTTTTAATGACAGTGCATATAATACAGTACTGTAAACTCATTGCCCCAGTAAATTCACACAAGTGATCAGTAGTTTCTGAGCTCTTATCCAGTGAAGAGTGTGTGTTGCCCTTCTATAATCAGGCCACATTTCCAGATGGATGAAATGTGAGGGATGGAATGAGAGGTAGATCAGATTGGCCTCACCTGCTGTGCTTTGACCAGTAGGCCACAGTGTAAAAGTGATCTATGCCCAGATTGCCTTTGCTGGAGGATAGCAACTTAATTTAATTCTAATCACATGAGAAAACTCTGGAAAATTCGAACATTCCTAACATGTTTAAATGCATTATCCTCATTTAATAATTTTTTCACTGAAAAAAGTCCAATTAATTAATTTCTAATTCATTAATTGCTCTCAAGCTTGTAGGATAACATACAACATTTCTGCCATCAATCTACCCTGTTTCCCTGAAAATAAGACCTAACCTGAAAATAAGCCCTAGTATGATTTTTCAGGATGCTTGTAATATAAGCCCAACCCCCAAAATAAGCCCCAGCTAAGGGAAATCCCACGGGGACGTGGTGGCGCTGTGGGCTAAACCGCAGAAGCCTGTGCTGCAGGGTCAGAAGACCAAGCAGTCATAAGATCGAATCCACGTGATGGAGTGAGCTCCCGTCGCTTGTCCCAGCTCCTGCCTAACCTAGCGGTTCGAAAGCATGCAAATGCAAGTAGATAAGTAGGGACCACTTCGGTGGGAAGGTAACAGCGTTCCGTATCTAAGTCGCACTGGTCATGTGACCACAGAAGATTGTCTTCGGACAAACGCTGGCTCTACGGCTTGGAAACGGGGATGAGCGCCGCCCCCTAAATTACTAAGGGAAACCCCACCCTCCACCATTGTGCAGCAATCAGAAGATGAGGCGACTGTATTTGAATAAATGTAGATTGTACATGGAAAAAAAGCATCCCCTGAAAATAATGTAAGACCTACCCCAACAATAAGCCCCGCTTAAATGAAACCCCGCCCTCCAACATTGTGCGGGAACCAGAAGATGACGTGACTGTATTTGAATAAACGTAGATTGTACATGAAAAAAATAAAGCATCCCCTGAAAATAATCCCTAATGTGTTTTTGGAGCAAAAAATAATACAAGACCCTGTCTTGTTTTTGGGGAAACAGGGTATACAGAAAGCATTGTACTTAATAGTGATACATGCATCCTAGTGGAATCTGAGGGTCAGGGTCACATGGTATGGCAAACATGTACCGTATTTTTCGCTCCATAAGACGCACCTTTCCATAAGACGCACCAATTTTTAGGAGAAGAAAACAGGAAAATATAATCTGTTTTCTTCGCTCCATAAGACGCACAGACTTTCCACCCCCCTGTTTTGTGGGAAAAAAGTGCGTCTTATGGTGCGAAAAATACGGTATTTCTTCTTCTTACAGCATTACCACTCCTGGTGCTCAGTTCTTGCATATTCCATGCTTTAGATCAGCTGATTTCAAATAAGGGAAGAATACTCAAACCTTCAATTTAATATGCTGGATTTTAAATTTTTGGTTAAAATACCACTACTCCAGAGCAGACAAAAATCATGCATAGGTTTAATGGAGTGGTGCTTTTAAAGCTTTTTCTCCAAAGAAAATTTGCAGAAACATATTTATTCAAAACTGGGAGTCTTATGTTATATAGTTGTGACATATATTTTCAAAGCTTTTATTGTTTCTTATTGATTAATTTGAAAGATTGGCACATTAACTTCATACATACCAAGTCATTTTAGTTGCATCTTCATTTCATTTACTGGGGAAGTACTGCACAGAAATGCATCTGAAGTTTAGTGCATTTCACCATGTGCAAAATATTTGACATTCTTTAACCATAAATTTAAGAATGGTAGAACAGTGGTTGAAAAACAGAAACATTGATATGTAGGCAGAAGTTTCAAATTGACACAGTAAAGCAGTTGCAAAAAATCTACTTATATTGACTTGCCCTGCATAAATAAGATGAGAATTGTATCAATGTCTTTAAAAGGACACATTTATAAGAAATCACTTTAACACAGTATTAGCTCTATAGAATATCTGTCACTTGCCTCCTCCCACCGTCTTTTTCCCTTCTTTCAGTAGCCACTGACATATGGAAATAAATAGGCATTATCTTTGTGATCTGGAACACTCTCAATAAATGAAGTGTATAAAAGACTGTGTATTTAGAGGGGGTCCAACAGTTTTTCCAGTGATCTGTACTTGAGAAAAAGAAATTTCCAGATTAATGATTTAAGTGGGTGATGCAGATTCTAATCATTATAGCTGCTTGACACTTGTAAATAATGTTAACAATTTCAATTAAGAGTTTCAGGGCAAATACACAAACTTATCCTACTATTAAACACCCTTTAAAGCATGATGGATAGGCCTCTTGACTTGCTTATTAAGGGTTGAAGCTCTACGCCACTGCCAAAGCCTTTCATTGAGTTGCAGTAAAAAGATAGAATCCATTGGGGTTTTGTGATCTCTCTAGCCAGACCAGGGCACTCACAGACATTATGTCTTAAAGAAGAAAATTATGGAAATCATTGCAGATTTCTGTTCATTAAGATTTTTATCTTCCCCCTCCTCATTTTTAGACAAGAACAGAATGTTAATGTAAAACTCAATAGACACACACACACAAACACACTATAATTGATATTATACCCTTCATGGGTTGATTCGCTTTATACTGTAATTTGCAACTTCACAAATACCAAAAGGGTAATGTAGGTAAAAAAGAAAACCTTAACTTGGACCTTATGCTGTAATCTTTATTTTAACTGTATCCTTCTGTATTTATATTTTCAGTATTTATGATGAATGATATGTAATTTGATGTATTTATTGTGGCTTATTTCTGCAATGTATATATTAAAAAATAAGCATTTATAAGTCTTAAAAGTAGGTTATTTTTTTTCTTAGTGGCACTAGTATTATGCTGTATTTTTACTATATATTGTACAATATATATTTATTGTCCCTTTGTTTGCAACAGAGTAAATCAGGTTTCTACATTACATGAGCTCCTGTCTCTTCTGTATTGGGGGTGGGTGGGTGTCTTAAATGCCTCTTGAAGTTACAGCATAAGGAATAAAGTATTATTCCTCATTATTTAATAAGCTGAAACCCATTTAAGGCTTATCCATTTGCACCATCTCAAAATCCACATTGTGTTTTTTAACAGGTGGGAGTTCACCTGTCCTGTATGTTCTAACTTAGATAATCACCTGGCAGATATGCTTTGATTGCATTTCTGCATTGAGCAAGGGGTTGGACTTGATGGCCTTGTAGGCCCCTCCCAATTTCACATTTCTATGATTCTAACTAAAATTCCAGCAATAGAATTCCATGTTGGGTTATAAATTTATTTTATTTCTGGTATATACCACCCCATTAGTGCACAGCACCATTCTGAGTGGTTTACATAAAAGCAGCTGTCATTAAAACATCAAACATAACATAACATAAACAACCGCCTGAAACCAGCATTAAGCCCAGATGGTGCAAAAATTAGTGCAGCTGAACAGGAGCAGAAAATTCACAAGAGGTGCAAATGGTACAGAAACAATCAGTCTGCCATAAACAAGCAAACAGAGGCCCCATGTTGCCACTGCTGAATGTCTGTGACACACAAGCCACCTTTAAAGACACTACTGCTGTCCCTTTAGGGAATGGGTTGTGACCTTCCCTGCATGAATGTTACCCAGAAATTGGGTTTGTTTTTCTTAACTACAACTGCCAGAAAGCTCAAACGAGACCTGTTACTTAGTATTTTACACACCAAGACTACACATTTTGACATGGCGGATGTTGAGATTTCCCAACACATTTGTTTGATAACAAACAATTACAAATTCAGATCCTCATACTCTCTGTTTAGGTGCAAATCTAAACTCATTGCATATCCAGTTTGTATTTGATCCATCCCGTTGCATGACCAGGTTTAGGAGAAGAGGTAACTAAAGGGAGCCCCCATAATCTGTAAAGAAAGTGAATGGGCATTGGGTGCAAGTACTCGGAAGATAGGACCACTTTATCATAATGGGATATCTTAATGGGAAACGCAAAATGGGAGCACTAGTAGCCCATTATCCAGAACAACAGTAGCACATCATATCTTGGGATGGGAAATTTAAATAACACATTACCATTGCTCCAAAATGCCATAAGGAAGTACTGTTAAGGCTGTAAGTAAGTACCAGTCATGGCTCAAAATCAGAAGGGACAGTTAAAGGAACAATTCCTTTTCTTCAGATCCCAAAGAACTCCGTGTAGACATCTAGCTGGATTATCTGCTATGTTTTACTAAGGTCCACCAGTAGATCCAAGCGTAACATACAAACACTCAAAGAACAAGGTGCTTCTGAATATATCCCCTGAGACAATGCATTCACTTTCAGCATCTGAACTAATTCAGTCTTTTCGGACAAAAGTCCATTTCCTGACACTCCAGTATTTTATTTCAGCAGCTTACTTGAGGCAGGAAAAAATCTTTTCTATTTATTAGACAACTAAAATTGGGAACAGTATAATGCAAATCATCAAGAGATCCACCTGTTCTATGTTCTGCCCATCCAGTTGTCAAGTTCTTGAAGTGGCATGTCTGTAACATGTAAATCTAGCTAGCCTCTTGATACTGTTGACTTCTTTTTTTGGCAACTTCTTGTCTCCCATCGAACTAATCAGCTGAACAAACTAATATGATGGGAATTGTAGGTCCTATCACCAATTTGGTTCCCTATTGAGCCATGGAAATATGGTTCTTCTAAAGTGCATATTTTTGGACTACCAAATTCCAAAAATGAAGAAACCAGCATTGGGAGAGGCTTGTTGTAGAGCTGCGTCCACGCCTGCTAACAGAATGCCATGCCTAATATTTCACTCAACTTTATGTCTGGTTTCTTTGACATTGTGGCTACAACGCTCAGCTAATATATCTCAAGAGTTACCTTTTGCTTAGTACAAAAGCCACAATGTGCATGCTCAGGATTATTCCCAGATGAATAAAATATAGGGAGGGAAAATCAGATGAATTATTTTCTTTTTTAAAATTTTCTTTTTAAAATTATTATTATTTATAAAATCCATCCATGCTTAATTAACACTGTGTCACCTGGGTTCAGTTTATAATCATTTGTTAATACAACTGCAATACTTATTAGGCTCTTAATCTATACAGTGGTGTCCTGCTTGACGATTACCTCATTAGACGAGGAAATCACTTAACGAAGTTTTTGTGAATAGGGGAAAATCGCTTCACGATGATCGGTTCCCTGCTTTGGGAACTGATTTTTCGCT